GTAGAGACGGGGTTTCACCATGTTGACCAGGATGGTCTCGATCTCTTGACCTCGTGATCCACCTGCCTCGGCCTCCCAAAGTGCTGGGATTACAGGCTTGAGCCACCGCGCCTGGCCTTATTTCTACAAAAAATTTAAAATTAGCTAGACGTGACAGCATGTGCTTGTTGTCCCAGCTACTCAGGACACTGATGCAGGAAGATTGCTTGAGCCCAGGAGTTAGAGGTTGCAGTGAACCAAGATTATGCCACTGTATTCCAGCCTGGATGACAGAGTGAGACTCTCTCAAACAGAAATATATATACATATTCTTATATATATATATTAATATATATATAGATATATAGAATATGTATATATATATAATACGTATATATATTTCTCTCTATATAAATGCTTTATACTTAAATTAAGAAAAATCTACTACTTACCACAAAACCCTCCCAGATATTGAGTTTGCTTAGTGATATAATTCTTGTTTATAGGAAAAAATCAAGGTCAAATCACAAGATGTTTCTGAAATAAAAGTATGCTTTTAAATTATTTCATCCATTAAATAGGGTCTTCGTCCATCTTCTGCAGAGCCAAATTACAACCAGAGAGAAGAGCTAAGAAGTAATGGAGAAGAGCCTAGATGCCAGGAGCTGCCATTTAGGAAAAACGAAATGAAGGAACAGGTTAAAGACTGTTTAATTCCAGGGCTACCATTGTATTTCTTTGTTTTACTGTCTTTCGTACGTTATAGGAAGTTACTTCTATTTCCTACAGTGCCCCTGAGAGGACGCTGTTGTGTGAATACTTGGACACTCAATTTGTCAACACAATGCTGAGTGTTACAGGGGATACAGAGGTAGGTATTTCACTTTCTCAGAGAATGCAATATGTCTAAGTTCATGATGCTTTTCACCTTGGATTCATAGAGTAATGGTCCATCATTAACAGATTTGGCATTTGTATTAGTTTCCTGGGCTGCTGTAACAAAGTTCAACAAATTAGCTGACATAAAGCAGTAGAAATGTATTGTCTCACAATTCTGCGAGAGCAGAAATCCAAAATCAAGGTGTCAGCAGAACCAAGTGCCCTCTGAAAGCTGTAGGGGAATCCTTCCTTGCCTCTTCCTGGTTTCTGATGCATCGCTGACAATCTTTGGCATTTCCTTTATTTGCAGTTGCAAAACTCCATTCTCTGCCTTCATCACATGCTGTTCTCCCTGTGTGTCCCTGTCTTCATATGGCCATCTTCTTGCAAGGACACCAGTCATATTGAACTAAGGGCTCACCGGTATGATCTCAGCTTAACTAGTCACATCTGCAGTAACCCTGTTTTCAAATGGGGTCACATTCTAAGGCACTGGCGGTTAGGACTTTAACATATCTCTTTTTGGGGAGGGACAAAATTCAATGCATAACAGGGTTATATATAAAGGTGGAATTTATAAAGTAAGTGTACATCATGAATGCATTTGGGTTATGCATAAAATCGAGCTCTGTGTCTGAAGCTGCTGTCTCACAGGGTGTAAAGTACCCCAGCCAAACATAAGGCAGATTATCATTTTAGGAACAACAGATTTTTCTATCTTATTTTATATTACACACTTTTGAAACTGTAGGCTGCATAAGGATTATTTTTGTTATGGTGTTCATAAACACTTGAAAGTTTCTGGATAGGGTTTGCTTTCCAGGAATATTGGAAGCAGTTAGAAGAAATACGCCAACACTACCACAATGACATGAAAGAAATTAGAAAGAAGATGGGGAGAGAACTAGAGATAAGTTCGTTCTTCTAGGGGAAACATTGTTCTATCGATTTAGAGCTAACCAAATTGAGCTGCTATGAAAAGTAATGATTTCCTCATAGAAAAGATAAAGTTTTATCATAGAAATAATCATGCAGACTTCTTTTGTAATAGGAAAGCTGTCAGACCTCATTGGAGCTTCAGTTTATTATGGTTTATGAGAGACTGCACAAGATAATAAGGATATCTGAGATTGTCAGGAATGGCTATTATTAAAGTACCTATTGATTGTTTTCCTCATAAATCAGTCAATATGTATTTACTGAGCAGCAACTTTAGACCAGAACTGGATTAGATGCAGAAAGTCCAAAATGAGTATAAGTTCATGCCCAGAAGGAGAGGAAAAAAATCCCCCCACACTAGCATTTTTTCAACTATCTGCAGGGTAAGGTTCTAAAGGCTATTTAAGGCAAAATCTGAGTGCAGTTGAACTGATTCTTAAAAATCTCTTCAAGGCGCCACATTGGAAATTGATCATTCCATCTCCAAGAATGTCTATAGAGTTACTGCTTCTTCAGAAGCGCGTCAGATGAAATAGCCCGCCTGTGTTTGAAGACCATGTTGTAAGAAAGACACATGATAATTGAAACACTAGGAACACACACAGTGCCCTAGAATGCCCTCCTAGGAGAAGCTTGCAGGCACTGAGATGGCTGTCTCCATCCCACTTGCACTGGCCACACACTCATTGAGTAGTGCCACCATGCTGCTGAAATTGATCTCTCTCTCTCTCTTTCTCTTCCACCACAGTGCATACAGATAAATTAATAGAAATCAAATGAATGTGTGGTACAATTCAGTTGTATTTGCCAGGCTGTGAACTAGAGCTTTCACATACTGTATTAGTCTGTTCTCACACTGTTGTTAAAGACATATCCGAGACTGGGTAATTTATAAAGGAAAAGAGGTTTATTGGACTCACAGTTTCACATGGCTAGGAGGCCTCACAATCATGGCAGAAGGCAAAGGAGGAGGAAAGTCATGTCTTACATGAAAGCAGGCAAGAGAGCTTGTGCAGGGCAACTCCCATTTATAAAAATCATCAGATCTTATGAGACTTACTCACTACCATGAAAACAGTATGGGGGAAACTGCTCCCATGATTCAGTTCTCCATCTGGCCCCACCCTTGACACATGGGGATTATTACAATTCAAGGTGAGATTTGGGTGGGGACACAGCCAAACCATATCATACATACTACTACTACTACTACTACTACTACTACTGCTACTACTACTACTTTCTTCTCCTTCTTCTTCTTCTTTTAAAGACAGAGTTTCGCTCTTGTTGCCCATGCTGGTGTGCAATAGTGTGATCTCAGCTCACCACAACCTCTGCCTCCTGGGTTCAAGCGATTCTCCTGCCTTGGCCTCCCTAGTAGCTGGGATTACAGGCACGAGCCACCGCGTCTGGCTAATTTTTTTATTCTTGGTAGAGACAGCATTTCTCCATGTTGGTCAGGCTGGTTTTGAACTCCTGACCTCAGGTGATCCACCCGCCTCAGCCTCCCAAAATGCTCGGATTACAGGCATGAGCCACTGCACCCAGCCATACTTACTTTAATTTACCCCCATACAGAGAAGTTAAGTAGCTCATCCAAAGTCACTTAGATATTACAAAGCAGACTAAATATTTAAATATCTGACTTTAGGCTGGGCACAGTAGCTCATGTCTGTAATCCCAGCAATTTGGGAGGCTGAGGTGGGAGGATTCCTTTAGCCCAGGAGTTTGAGGCTAGCTTGGGCAACATAGGGAGACCCTCCCTGCTCTAAAAAAAAGTACAAAAAGGCCCAACGTGGTGGCTCATGCCTGTAATCCCAGCACTTTGGGAGGCCAAGGCGGGCAGATCATGAGGTCAGGATATTGAGACCATCCTGGCCAACATGGTGAAACCCTGTCTCTACGAAAAATACAAAAATGAACTGGGTGTGGTGGTGCGCACCTGTAGTCCGAGCTACAGGTATTGATCGACATACGACCTATGCAACTTACGACGATTCGACTTTACAACCACAATCACTAGCCACGACTGCTCCGCGTCTGGCAGCACAAACGTTGCCCAGCTGGGCATACGACAGTGCGGACCAGCTTCCGGCAGCACTACCATCTCCGCGTGCACCATTTCAACTGTACATATAGCCTACTCAACTTACGACCAAATCGTGTTACGACTGGTCTGCCGGCCCCAATTGTGGTCGTAAGTCAAGCACTAGCTGTACTCGGGAAGCTGAGGCAGGAGAATTGCTTGAACCAGGGAGTCAGAGGTTGCGGGGAGCTGAAATCATGCCACTGCACTCCAGCCTGGCAACAGAGTGAGACTCAGTCTCAAAAAAAAAAAAAAAATATATATATATATATATGTATAAAAATATATATACTCATACATATATATATTTACATACATGCACATATATACAAAAAAATTTTAAATTAGCTGAGCATGGTGGTTTGCACCTGTAGTGCTAGCTACTTGCGAGGCTAAAGCAGGAGGATTGCTTGAGCTAGGAGTTAAAGGCTGCATGATTGTACCACTGCATCCCTGCCTGGGATACAGAGCAAAACTCTGTCTCAAAAAAATAAAATAAAGTAAAACAAAACAAAAATCAGACTATAAAACCCCTACTTGGATTCATGCCTGTAATCCTAGCACTTTGGGAAACCAAGGCAGAAGGATCACTTGAGCTCAGGAGTTTCAGACCAGCCTGGGCAACATAATGAGACTCCATCTCTATAAAAAAATTTAAAAAATTAGTGGGGCGTGGTGGCAAACACTTGTAGTACCAGCTACTCAGGAGGCTGAGGTGGGAAACTGAGATTGAAACTGCTGTGAACTGTGATTGTTCCACTGCACTCCAGTCTGGGCAACGGAGGGAGATCCTGTCTCAAAAAATAAAAAAATATAATTAAAACCACTATTTTTTCTGGCATATGCAGATCTACTTGTAAATGGTTGGAATGATGACACACAAAACCGTCACAGAGTAAGCCCCGTAGGTGCGCAGGTGCCAAGATGAGTAGAATGAGCAGGAAATGGGTTTTTATGGAAGAAGTGAGTGGGGCCTAAACTGGGTCTGAGAAGAAGAGTGGAATTTGGAGAGGCAGAGTTAAGGCAGGGGAGTGGGCATTCTGAAAGAGCCATACAAAGGTTGGAAGAGAGGACTGCGTGTCCTGGGAGGGGCAGCGTGGAGGTGGTTCTCTCCAGAGCAGAGGCCTGGCTCATGGTGGGCAACCTCGAGCCATCATCAGCCTTATGTCTAAAGCTGGTCTGGGATGGGCAGCCTGAGCCCTGCAGAAATGGATAGCAGACATTTCTACAGAGTCTATGGAGGAAGGACTGGGAAATACTGAGGCTGCCATGTGGAGAAGGAGCTATGAAAAGGGTTCTGTCCAGCCATTCCATTGATCACACATCAGCCAAGTAGCCTTCAGAGCTCACTCAGAACCACTCTTGTTGACTGAGTATAATTTGTGTTAAAGGAGAACTCAAAAATAAGTCATAATACCTATTTGGTGAAGAAGAGTAACCTACCTGTCCATCAAGATGCGTGTGAGGGAGAAGCACCTGTGCAGGTAATGATGGCTATTACCAGATGTGCGTGTGCTGTGGTGCGTGTGCTCCACCCGAGTGGCTCTTACCTTTTGCTGTGCAGCACAACCATGTAGGGAGCTTTTTAAAAATTCAGATGCTTCTCTCTGCCCTAGATGGTCTGGGATGTGGCTCAGGCATCTTATCTGCAGAAGCTTGCTGGGTGATCTATTGTGCAGCTAGGTTTGAGAACTGCTGCTCTTTAGTATAAAAACCTTCCACTCTCTGGAGGGTCTGAGTCAGTGTCTCAGACACATTGGTCCAGAAATCTGACAGCCAACTTCTCTTCCATTTCAACCTTATGTTTTTGGTGGAGGTAAGAGGCTTGGCAGAGTTGAAATAACAAATAAATCTCAAGAGAGTTTTTTTCCCCTTCTGAGAAAAGATTATACAATTATAATGCAAGATGAATCTGTTGATTTCAACCAATTCTGAGAATTACTCAACCTGTGAAATAACCTGATAAACAGTGCTCTTATGATTACATGTTTTACTTTTCAAGGACTTATGTTGATTTTGTGAATAAGAAGCCCAAGTGTACTTTTATTTTTGCTTAGTAAGAAGATTCTCAATGATTTGGCCCCTAATGAGAATTATTACTATCTCATCTTTATAATTAGTGTAATTCTTTGTGTTTTAAATTATATCTATTATTAGAGCTTGATCCAGAGTCAACTAGAAATGGAAAATCCTCAAGGAATTATAAACTTGTCATTCAAAGGTGCCAGTAGGATCACAGTCAAATTCTGTGAAAACACAGCTCAGATGTTACAGATGTGTTTTTCTCTCACATTTTAACCTAGTTAGATTAAATCCAGTGCCTTAATGTTTTTAAAAAGTCAAGTAGTTAAAAATAAACCAATGGAAGAACACAAACAAATGATGGTACCCTCCCTCAAAAAGTTTATATCAGGAATTGGGTGATTAAAATTTGATATGTTTTATGCAAGAGGAATAACACTGAAAGAAAACACACCAAAATGCCGACGGTGGTAATTGGTGGTATCTGGATTGGTGTGAGTAGTGGTGATTATTGTCTCTCTACTTTTTAAATTTTTTATAAGAAGCTTACAGTACTTTTACCACAAATATGTATAATAAAGTGTCTGTTCCTTAGTTCTGTCAGTACTCTAATCAGTATCTTCATACAAAAACAGCCATCTGAAAGCCAGGAATGGTGGCATGAGACTATAGTTCCAGCTATTTGGGAGGCTGAGGATCCCTTGAGCTCGGGAGTTTGAGACCAACCTGGGTAATACAGCGAGACCCCCATCTTTTAAAAAAAATAAAAATAAAAAAGGCATCTGCTATTTCCTGAAGGCTGTCCTCCAGAGCAATCCAGCAGCAGATCTCTTTGCAAACTTCTGTAAAGGAAATAATTATCACCTAATTTGTCTACTTTTTGAATTTATGTTTTAATTATCTTATATGAAGGAAATCTGTAGCTATAAAATTAGACATGTTTGATAAAAGTCTTTATTTGTAGAGTTATCTTTTCAAAATACTATTTGGACACATTATTTCTCTACTCGATAATCAATGGTGACTGCCATTTTCCTTAGCGTGGCCTGCTAGACTTTTGTGAGTTGTTCCTAACAGAATCTTCCAGCCTCATTGCTCACATTTCCCCCAAACATACCCAAGGCTCTAACCTTCTGAAATTACTTTTTAAAGCCCTACTTATTTACAAAGACATCTTCCTTTTAACCTTCAGGCCTTTGTAAAATGCTCATTCCTCTACTGAAATATCCTTTCCCTCTCTTCTTTTCTTGCAGAGCTCATTGTATCAGACCTCCTGGTGAAGTTTCTAGCACAGCTTTTTTCCCTTTCCCCCTTAGAATTAATGACACCTCATCTGTACTTCCACAGCTTTTCCAAATACTTCATACACAGCCTGTGTCATTGTTAGTTATTTGCACTGCAACCTGGGGAAGGGTGTTTTTCTGCTTTGTAATATTATGAAGTCTGAAATCGGGGCTGTGACTGATGTATCTTACTTACATTTGCGAAATTGGTTGTCTGATCTGCTTGGATAGTCTGGTCATCTCAATTGTACAATCTGTGTCCCATTACTTTACTTTCCTTAAAATACAATGATCTCAGATCCCAACCCTGATCTACTCCCGTGAGTGGGACATTGAACCTCAGTCTGCTGTCAGGCTCTCCAGCATCATGTAATCTGAAAGTCCTTCACGGTCCTGTGAAGATTGTTAACTGTGCAGCCATGAGGTCTGGGATCTTGAGGCAGGGATACCAGGCTGGTGTCCTGTCTCTTGCTCATTACTCCTATATACTGCCACAGGCTAGGACTTGAGTCCCCCATCTCCTTTAAAAAATGGTTTTATTGAGATATAATTGATCATAATAAACCACACATATTTAATGTGTATATTTGATAAGATTTGACAGGCACACCCATGAAACCATCACCACAATCAATATAGCTAACGTATCCATCACCGGCAAAAGTTTGTTGCACCCTTTTGTAAACTCCTCTCTCCTATTCTCCCAACCTCTCCTCCCATCTCATCCTCATGCAATCACAGATCTGCTTTCTGTCGCTGTAGGTTGGTTTGCATTTTCTAGATTTGTTTGCATTACAAAAATGGAGTTGTGCTATATGTATTCTTTTTTCTGGCTACTTTCATTCGCATAATAATGTTGCGATTTATCCATATTAATAGTTCATTATTCTTTATTGCCGAGTATATTCTATTGTATGAATATATCAAAATTTATTGATCCATTCACTGTAGAGGGATATTTGGGTTGTCTCAGCTTTTGGCTATTATGAATAAGCTGCTAGGAATATTCATGTAAAAATCTTTTTTTTTTTTTTTTTTCGCTCTGGAATTTTGCTCTTGTTGCCCAGGCTGGAGTGCAATGGCATGATCTCAGCCCACCGCAACCTCCACCTTCCAGGTTCAAGCGATTCTCCTCCCTCAGCCTCCCAAGTAGCTGGGATTACAGGCATGCACCACCATGCCTGGCTAATTTTGTATTTTTATTAGAAGCAGGGTTTCACCAGGTTGGTTAGGCTGGTCTCAAACTCTCAACCTGAGGATCCACCTGCCTTGGCCTCCCAAAGTGCTGGGATTACACGCGTGAGCCACTGCGGCCGGCCATCAAGTACAAATCTTTATGTGGTCATATGCTTCTTTTCTTTCTTTTGGGTAAATATATTGGACTGGGATGGATGGATTGTATAGTAGGTATATATTTAACTTTCTAAGAACTGGCAATTGGTGTTCCAGAATGGCTGTACTGTGTTACACTCCTCTGGGCATTCTATGAGTGTTTCAGTTCTCTCTGTGCAGCTTCCCCCTCTTTAGGTCTTTGTCCTTCAAACTCTAGCACCTGAATACCCCCAAGCATTGTCTTATCAACTCAGGGAGTCTGCCACACTCACATTCGGTTCCCCATCCCTGCACCATGGCCGGCAAACTCTCAAGACAGGAGGCTGGGGCAGTTTCAGGGCTTGTCTCGTTGGTTTTCTGTTCATTGCTGGATGTCTAATGTATTAAAATCCATTCATCTATTATATATTTGATCTGGCTCTTTGGTTGTTTTGGGTGGGGAGTTAAATCTGGTTTCTGATACTCTGCCTTGGCGGAAAGTGTAAGTTTTCAGTGCCCACTGCTGGGGAGGGGTGGAGAGCACTCACGAGTTCCTTTTGGAGATTGAGTTAGAGAAGGTGTGAGAGGTTACATACCTGCTCTGGAGCCTTTACCCCACTGTTCCCTCTGTGTGGAAAATACTCTTCCCGGACCTGCATATGCCAAGGTCCAATATTCCAGGGCTTAAATCAATTGCCAAATAAGCTTTGCCTGTGTTACTCTCATCCCTACTCCTTTTCCATCCTATTATCCTATTTTATTCCCTTGATAGCACTTAACATTTCTGAAATTATGTCATTTGTTAACTCATTTATTATCTATCCTACTCCAGTAAAATGTAAGCTCCATGTCAACAGGGGCCTTTCTGGTCATGCCCACTGTGCTAACCCATTTTGAGGGTGTCTGGCCCCCAGGGAGTGCTCTGGTGAATTTGTGGAGTGAATATTAAGATGAAGATGATGCTAAGTAGGCAGTGGATATGTGAGTCTGGAGCTCAGGGGAGAGGAAAGGTGAAGCCTGATGATACCCATTTAAGAGTCACTGCTTAAAGGTGGCATTTAAATTCATAGGAATGAAGGAGACCCCTTGTATTAAGGAAGAGAGGAGCAGAGGGCCCCAGATAGGACCCTAAGAAATCTCTGAATATAGAGCCCATATCTCAATTGTGCCTTTGAAATTTTTGTCATCTAGTTTTAGTTTTCTTCTTTTCCTCCTTGAAATTGCCTGCCAATTTTTAGAGCCCTCTCCTTCCTTTATACCATCATGAGTTGTGCACTTCGCCTATTTTCCTGATTAAGATCATAATCCTCTTAAGGGAATGATCCTATAGTCAACATTACATTCTTGAATTGAATTGGTTTGCACTGGAGTGGACTGGAGTGATCAGTATTGTCACATTATAGAATTTCACCCACTGAAGTGCCAGTGTTAAATGTATTAATATTTCAAGTTAATGGATACTGTGCCCAAGTTTTTAGTGAATTATTAACTTTCCATTATAAAAGTTTGTTTTTGTTCTCAAATCAATTATTAGATTTAACACAGAAATGAACTCATGTAAACATACAGTGATAGAATTGTATTTTTCCCTAAACTTTCAGGACATTGAAAGAGACTTGAAACAAATTAGGCTTCAGTATACAAAGGAAAGTAAAAATCGAGAACAGAGATATAAAGCTAAGGTAAGAAATACTTTTGTCTTTGGGTTCCATATTAAATAGCTGGCTGGGGAGCCACCTTGTGATCTGGGTTGCCTACAAGATTTTCTTCTATTTTATAGAATTGCTCTATTTTCTGATGTGAGACCAATGGTTTTAAGAATCTATACTGTCAAATAAAATTGACCTAGGGAGTTGTAATTTAATGGCTTTTATTGAATTGCTATACTGATTTTTTTCTTTCCTTTCTCCTAGAAAGGGGTAAAGTTTGAAGTTAATTTAGACAAATGTATTTCTGATGAAAACATCCTCCAAGAAGAAGAGGTATGCCATTAAGTCTAAATTTCCATTAGTAGGTATGAGAAAATGCATCTATCTTACCTAATAACATGTTTCATGACATTTCTTCACAGGCTATAGGGATAATTTTTTCAACTTTTAGATTCAGGGATACATGTGCAGGTTTGTTACCTGGATATATTGCGTGATGTTGAGGTTTGGGATATGAATGATCCCATCATCCAGGTACTAAACATAATACTCAGTAGTTTTTCAAGCCATCCTCCCTTCCTTTCTCCCCCCGACTGTAGCAGCTCCCAGTATCTATGCCATCTTTATGTCCATGAGTACCCAATGTTTAGCTCCCACTTATAAGTGAGAACATGCAGAATTTGGTTTATCCCTGTGGAATTTAGATAGTGGTGCCCAGCTGCCTTCATGTTGCTGCAAAGGACATGATTTCATTCTTTTTAATGGCTGCATAGTATTCCATGGTGTATATGTACCACATTTTCTTTATCCAGTCCACCACTGATGGGCACCTTGGTTGTTTCCATGACTTTGCTATTGTGAATAGTGCTGAGATGAACATGTGTTTTTTTGGTAGAATGATTTGTTTTCTTTTGGATATTTTCACAGTAATGGGATTGCTGGGTTGAACAGTAGTTCTGTTTTAAGGTCTTTGAGAAGTATCCAAACTTCTTTCTATAGTGGTTGAAGTAATTTACATTACATTCTTACCTACACTACGTAAGCATTCCCTTTTCTCTGCAGCCTCACCAATATTTGTATTTTGACTTTTTAGTGATAGCCATGCTGAGTCATGTGAGATGGTATTTCATTGTGGTTTTGATTTGCATTTCTCTGATAATTAGTGATGATGGGTATTCTTTCATATATTTGTTGGCTGTTTACATGTCTTTTGAGAAGTGTCTGTTTCTGTCTTTTGTCCATTTTGAAATTTGGGTTATCTTTTCTTGTTCAAAGTTCCTTATAGAGTCTGGATATTAGACCTTTGTTGGATACATAGTTTGCAAAAATTTTCTTCCTTCTGTAGGTTATCTGTTTAGTCTGTTGATAGTTTCTTTTGCTGTGCAGAAGCTCTTTAGGTTAATTAGGTCCCACTTGTCAATTTTGTTTTTGCTGCAATTGCTTTTGAGGACTTAGTCACAAATTCTTTCCCAAGGCCCATGTTCAGAATGGTGTTTCCTAGGTTTTCTTCTAGGATTCTTTTAGTTAGAGAGTTAAAGGTTTTTTTTTTTTTTTTTTTTTTTTTTTTGTGGAGTCTCGCTCTGTCGCCAGGTTGGAGTGCAGTGGCGTGATCTCGGCTCACTGCAACCTCCGCTTCCTGGGCTCAAGCAATTCTCCTGCCTCAGTCTCCTGAGTAGCTGGGACTGCAGGCCTGTGCCACCATACCCAGCTAATTTTTATATTTTACTAGAGATGGGGTTTCACCATGTTGGCCAGAATGGTCTCTATCTCTTCATGTCGTGATCTGCCCACCTCAGCCTCCCAAAATGCTGGGATTACAGGCGTGAGTCACTGTGCCTGGCCATAGTTAAAGATCTTACATTTAAATAGTTAATTCATCTTGAGTTAATTTTTATATACAGTGAAAGGCAGGGGTCCAGTTTCATTCTTGCACATATAGCCAGCCAGCTATCCCAGCACCATTTATTGGATAGGAAATCCTTTCCCCATTGCTTATTTTTGTCAGTTTTGTCAAAGATTAGATGCTGTAGATAGGTAGCTTTATTTCTGGTTTCTCTATTCTATTACTTGGTTTATGTGTTTGTTTTTGAACCAGTACCATACTGTTTTGGTTACTGTAGTCTTATGGTATAGTTTGAAGTTGGGTAATGTGAGGACTCTGGCTTTGCTCTTTTTGCTTAGAATTACTTTGGCTATTTGGGCTCTTTTTTGTTTACATATGAATTTTAGAATAGTTTTTTTTTTTTTTCTAATTCTGTGAAGAATGACATTGGTAGTTGGATATAAATGTGTTGAATCTGTAGATTGCTTTGGGCAGTATGGCCATTTTAATGATATTGATTATTCCAATCCATGAGTGTGGAATGTTTTTCTATTTGTTTGTGTCATCTATGATTTCTTTCTGTGTTTTGTAGTTCTCCTTGTAGAGATCTTTCACCTTCTTGGTTAGATGTACTCCTAGGTATTTTATTTATTTATTTTTTTGGTGGCTATTGTAAATGGGATTGCATGCTTGATTTGGCTGTCTGCTTCAATGTTCTTGATGTATAGGAATGCTACTGATTTTTATATTTGATATCGTATCCTGAAACTTTGCTGAAGTTGTTTATCAGCTCCAGGAACCTTTGGGTGGAGTCTTTAGGGGTTTCAAGGTATAGAATCATATCATCCATGAAGATATAGTTTGACTTTTTCTTTTCTTATTTGGATGCCTAGAATTTTAAAAAATATTTCCAGAAAAATATTTGGTGTTCAAATGAGTCTTCCAAGTGCTTTTTATTCTCTGATTTTATTTTATTTTGGTTATTTCTTTAGGTAAATTATATTTTAATTTACTTTTCTTTAAATAAAGGAGCTATTTTACTCATAATATTATTTGTTATCACAGCCAAATTAAAATAGAAGACCTGAATATTTGGTGTTCAAATGAGTCTTCCAAATGCTTTTTATTCTCCCATTTTATTTTATTGTGGTTATTTCTTTAGGTAAATTATTATATTTTAATTTACTTTTCTTTAAAGGAACTATTTCACTCATAATATTAATTGTTATCCCTGCCAAATTAAAATAGAAGACCTGATATATAGTCAACAACTAATATAATGACCTAAAAAATTGAACAGGTACCCTGAAACTAGGCACATTTATTTTAGGCCTTAATTCATTATTGATAATGTTGGGTAAATCTCATTTATGCATTTGGGCTCTCCTTGCCGCAGCAATAACTGTCCCAACACAGTAAATCCAAATTTCATTTTATTACTTGATTTTAACACTTTTTTAATCCTGGTTTTATTAGACCTATAACAAATGTCAAAATTAACTGGTTATTTTTCCATTTTACCTTTTCTGAATTCACCTCTTAAGTCAATGTAGATATGAATAATTATACACGATGCTCAATCTTTTTCTTTAATGTTCTTTTTTAGCTTAAAACACTTTCATGTTAGCATTTCTTATTTTTATGAGCATTTGCTACATAAAGACTTCATTAGAGTTGTGATAATTAGAATTCACTTCTGTTCAACCATAAGTTCCTAAATGCCCTGGAGCTGTGACATCAGAGTGGAACAGATCTGGGGACCTGCTTCTGGGTGGGAACTTGAGAAGTGGTACTCTCACAGAGCTTCTGTGAAGTGAGGTGCTGTCGTTGCCCTGCTGAAATGGAATAATGGAGTCCAAGAAGTTTTAACTGCCATTCTTTTTTATTCTTTGCTTCTATCTGCTTGAAACAGAAGTGGTCATTTTGGTATTGACTATAGAATACTAGGAGCAGATTTAGGCACCTGTTTAAGAATGTTGCATACTTAAAGCAGGGCATGAATGACAAAATCTTGAGAGCACTGTAGCATGGAACTGAAGTGGAATAATATTGAAGGCAGAAAGTCTAGGTAAAATTAAGTTGCCTTACAACCAGTGCTTGACACTGTTGAACTGGAGAAGAAATGAAAACATTTCTATTTTCATCTTATTCTGACATAGCTCTAGTTTAAAAACTCTATGGAGTTATTTAGTTTTACTAGGAACACAAAAAATGTGGTTTTTCTTTCTTGCAAAATATGGCTAATTCATCATGAAACACTGTGGAATTGATTTAGGTAATGGATATACTAAATGAAACTTTGACCTTTGAGGATGGCATGAAGTTTAAGGAGTATAAATGTGTAAAGGAGCATTGAGATTATACAGACAAAGCATTTGAAAAACTCCACTGCCCAGAAACAGGTATGGGTCTCTTGAAAGTTGTAACTGAGAAGGAACTGTTTTATTAGCAACCCATCTTGAACTCTGTCCCCATGCATCTGCCTCGCCTTCACTGTTATTTGACCCTCTCTGCTCTCCCTGAGCAAGGAAGAAACACACTTCCTATTCTCCTGCCACCCATGCAGAGGCCACACTCCCTGAGATCCAGCCCTCCTCTCCTGCTCCACACCCACTCCCTCCTGCAGCTTCAGCCTCTCCCACAAACCAAATATACATCACATGGAGGGTAATGGGGTCAGTAGAGACAAGGTAGTGATCTAAATTTGTAACATGTTGAGATTTAGGTCTTTATGGCATCTGTTGCAGATGCTGTGTGAGACTGAAAGCCTGGGGCATATCAGGGATAGAGAGCTTGGTGGCCCTTAGCATATCTGTGGTTTTTAACCTTGGTGATGTCAAAATACCTAGGGAGAGGGGCTGGAATGAGAGGGAAATGGAGCTTAGGACAAAACTCTGCCACTATATGGACAAATTTTGGAGACTCAGGAGAGAGTAAAGCCAAAGGAGGAGAGACAGGTCATGGAGGAGGCACAGGAATTGGCAGCATCAACTGGAAGAGAAAGGCCAGGTGAAGTGGGTGGGATTTGGCCCTTCAGGAACCCTTAATGGCCTCAGGGAAAGCAGTCAACTGTGAAAGGGGTAAATTCAACTGTTATCTTTGTGTCAGTTTGCTGGGAAGAGGAGAGCAGGTTAGCTGTTTTTTTAGATGAAAGGGGGAAGAAAAACCCTTCATTAGTGGTATACTGAAAATTGTCTCCCTGTAATTATTATTCAGGCTGAAGAATTTTTCCATATATTTGTTGACCGTTCATATTTTTTCTTTATCTTTTTTTTTTTTTTGAGATTGAGTGTCTCTCTGTCACCCAGGCTGGAGTGCAGTGGCGTGATCTTGGCTCACTGCAACCTTCATCTCCTGAGTTCAGGTGATTCTTCTGCCTCAGCCTCCCGAAGTAGCAGGGACTACAGGTGCACGCCACCGTGCCCAGCTAATTTTTTTTTATTTTATTATTTTTTGTAGAGACAAAGTTTCACCATGTTGGCCAGGCTGGTCTCGAACTCTTGACCTCAGGTGATCCACCGCCTTGGCCTCCCAAAGTGCTGGGATTAGAGGTGTGAGCCACGGTGCCCGGCCAACTATTCATATTTCTCATATGAATTATGTACTCTTGCCCTTCCTCCTTTTCTCTACTGAAAGCGACGTTTGTTTTTTATAAGATTGATTTAAATCAAACCTTTTCCTTTAATATGTATTGCAAGTGTTTCCCCCAGTTGGTTGTCAGATCTCATTTTTAGTAACAGCAAATATGTATGAATGTGTGTGTGTGTATTCATTCACTTAGGAATAAAGTTTACAAGAATTGTGCAGTGTGTAGAAAGAAAACTGTAAATCCTTACTGAGGTATTTCAAGGCCACTTGAATAAATGGAGAGAAATAACAGTGCTATATATTGGAAATACGTTTTTCAAATAAATATTGCACTATCATTGTCTGAGGTATCACCCAGAGCTCTTTGTCTTGTGACCAAAAGAAAAGGAACGCAGACACCAAGGGTGAGTTTGGAGTGAAAGTTTAATAAACAAAAGAGGAAAGCTCTTCACTGCAGAGAGGGGACCCAAGAGGGTTGCCATTTCACAGCTGAATAAAAAGGCTTTTATGAAAAACGTAATGGGGCTGGGTGTTTCACTTGTACAAGGCATGAATTTCTGGCAGCTCCACCCCATCCTCCTGCTGTGCTGACTGACAGGGGCTTGTCTTTGGAAAAGGCACCACTCAGAAAATGACATGATGGTTGGCTGGGCATGGTGGCTCATGCCTGTAATCCTAGCACTTTGGGAGGTCAAGATGGGCAGATCTTGTGAGGCCAGTTCAAGACCAGGCTGGCCAACATGGCAAAAGCCTGTCACTTACTAAACATACAAAAATTAGCTGGGTTTTGTGGTGCATGCCTGTAATCTCAGCTACTTGGGAGGCTGAGGCACAAGAGTCACTTGGACCTGGAATGTGAAGGTTGCTGCAAGCCAAGATTGCACCACCATACTCCAGCCACACTCCAGCTGGGGTGACAGAGCAAGATTCTGTCTCAAAAAAGAAAACAAAAAGAGAAAGAAAATGACATGATAGTGTAAAGGACCAATTGGAGACTTGGCCAACAACTGACTGAGTGTCAGAGTGATGGTTCATAGAAGCTTGGCTCACAGTCCAAAGTATGCCCCAAAAAGAAAGGAATGTGCTCATTGGAGCCCACCATGAACATGCCCACAAAAGGAGAAGGAACTGTTTCCTGGAGGCCCACTGGTTGCACCAAGGACAAAGGCATTTCTGTGTTGGGCCTTGCTCCCTTATCTATGCAGCTGTGGGCATGTTTTAGGCAAGTTTCCTGTGCTAGTTCCCTTATCTGTGTCTGCAGCTTGATTTTTCTGACTGGTCTTTTGCTTAAAAGAATTCTACCAAGGACCTGCCCTAACTGCCTGCCTAACTGGTTCTTTCTTTCTCCACCCTCAAAATGTGGATTTATGGCCATTTCAATCAAAACCACAGTAGGATTTTTTTTTTAATGGTATAGGGAAATCTCAGCAGATTGGAGAATTCTAGAGCTTCTTAAGTAGCCAAAAATTTTGAAAAAGTACAGTGAAGTGGAATTTACCTTTCCAAACGTCAAAATATATTACAGAAATTATAGTCATTCAAACAGTATGATAGCAGCACCCAAGTAGCTAAAACAGTGAGAAGAGAAAGTTAGAAACAAATCCTAGCATGTATCATAATTCTGCACAAATGAAAAGTAACAACACAAGTCAGTGTGAAAAGAAAGGACTATTCAAATAAATGCTGCTGGGCCAACTGGTTAATAGTTTGGGGAAGATTGTGAAATCAGACCCTAAATAATATGATACAACAAAATAAATTTTTAAAAATCAGAGTTTATATGTAAAAAAGTTATACATTAGAAAATGGAATAAAAGAGTACAGGTAATTTTTTGAACAGGGAAGAGCTAGCTGTTCAAAGGACATAGAAAAATATCACAGAATAAATTAGTAATAATTCAACTTTAACAACAAAAAGCTTTAGTAAAGCAAATAATACTAACCCCTAGAATTATCATTTTCAATTATTTAAATAATCATAAATGTCCACAAAAATTTAGCCACAAATGAGGTCATTATATAATGGTGTTATTAATAATAGTGAAAAATCACCAGCAGCCTAAAAATCTGGCAGGAAAGGATTAGTTACATTATATTACATTCATGAAGCAGAATACTACATTTGCTTTAAAATAGCTGTATAGAAGAATCCCAAAGTGCTGGGATTACAAGTGTGAGCCACCATGCCTGAAGGAGGCCACGCAGTAGGCTGGAGAAATAGGCCAAGTGACAGGTGGATATTGGGACAGCTGGGACTAGAGAGGAAATAAGTTCTTTTCTTCCATCCCCCTTCCCTCCCTCCCTCCCTCTCTCCCGCCTTTCTTTCCTTTCTTCCCTACTCCTTTCTTCCGCTCTTCTGCCCTTTTGTTCTTCCCTCTCCTTTTCCCCCTCCCTCCTCCCTTTCTTCCTTCCCTTCCTCATTCCTTCTCTTCCTTTCAACTCTTTCCTTCCCTCCATCTGTCCTCCCCTTTCCTATCTTTCCTTCTCTCCCTCCTTTTCACTCCTCCCTTCCCTCCTTCCTTCCGTAGTTCTCAAACACTGATCCAGCACCTTCTGCACGCCTAGCACTAACTAGCTACTGAGTCTGCCACAGGGAGTGGCCTGTGCTGCTGCGGAGCTTCCAGTCTAAGGAGAGCGAGGCCATCAGCCCCTGCCAGGCACTTCCTGCAGGGTGCTTTAGGAAGTGGGAAGTGCTGGGGAAAAACAAAAACGAACCCAGGACAGGCCAAGGAAGGGAGCTGCTGGGAGGAGAGGGATGGGCGGGCCATGTCCTTGCTGGATGATGGTGAGGGAGGCAGCCCTGAATGCAGGGGGTGCTGGAGGGGACAAGGGTCTTCTGGAGTGAGGGTGGTCGGGGTGGACGGAACAGCTAAAGCAGATGCCTGGAGAGATGTGTGAGCATCGGGCAGGTGTGAGGATGGAGAAGGGTGGTAGGTGGGAAAGGGAGGGAGACGGGTGGAAGGTGAGGCTGGAGGCAATGAGGAAGCTCAGCATCCCTTTCCCAAAAGCTGAACCTGGTGGCTCAGAACGAGGAGAATGGGGCCGCTGTGGGTCTGAGCAGAGGAGGGTGCAATGGATTCAGCTCATACAGGTCTCCTGTGGCTGGAAGTGGAGAGAGGCTGGGGCAGAAGTAGGGAGTGAACCAGGGCCTTGCTGCTGGATGCATATTCAAGGTGATGTCAAGCAAATCTGCTGACTGATGGAGTACAGGAGAAAAAGGCATTGATCTGACCCAGGCCCTGGGGACTGAACACTGGGGAGAGGAGCTACCATCCACTGCAATGGGGAAGGAGCGGGGCAGGTCTATACAATGGGCAACTCACAGAGACAAGAACAAAGCCAGACCCGCCAGCTCCCACTCAGCTCTCCCCTCCCCATCACCCACACCAGGGTCTTTGTCTTCCTCCCTACTTCCTGCCTGGTCCGTCCCTTTCCCAAAAGCCGAACTTGACCGTGATTCCTCCTCTTGGTGATGAAGAAATTCAGAGGGAGGAGGCTCAGGAAGGTAGCGATGGTGGAGGGACCCAGGAGCTGGGGACAGAGGGAACAGAATATCAGGAGATCCCGAGGAGCCCAGCTGCCAGAGGCATGTGAACCACAGCAACTCCATCTTGAATAGGAGCTGAGTAAAAGGAGGCTGAGACCTACTGGGCTGCATTTCCAGGTGGTGAAGGCATTCTAAGTCACAGGGTGGGACAGGAGGTCAGCACAGGATACAGGTCACCGAGACCTTGCCAGTAAAACAGGCTGCAGTAAAGAAGCCAGTCCAAAACCCACCAAAACCAAGATGGCCAGGAGAGTGACCTCTGGTCGTCCTCACTGCTATGTTGCCACCAGCGCCATGACAATTTACAAATGCCATGGCAACATCAGAAAGTTGCCCTATATAATCTAAAAAAGGGGAGTCATGAATAATCTACCCCTCGTTCAGCATGTCATGGAGAAATAACCCTAAAGATGGGCACCAGT